TGCTGAGACCCTCCACTCCTCTCTCTTCAGGTCTGACAGGGAGAAGAGTGACCTAGGCTGCCTCTACCACATGTGAGGTGCGGTCTCTCAGGAGAGGCACGCTCTGCCTGAGGCCAAAGGGCCAACCTGGTTTCATGTTTGGAACTTCAAAATAAGTCTTTAAAAAGAGGAGCACTAAAATAAGTGCTGAATGTATTACTTTTACAATGAAAAGCTTTGATCTAAGGAAATACACACACATAATGTTTTCATTCTGGACATCTTTTAACGGAATCAGGCACAGGCACTACGCCCCCTACACAGTATCGAGTTAAAAATGCCACTCCTACTCTCCACACGTTTTTTGCCGCATTTTGAGTAAAGTGCATTGAATATTTTCAAGATGGATTTCAGGGTCCAATAACATTTACTGAAAGCCTTCAAGGACCTATGCTCTGACTACATTTTACATATGTAGAGCTCTTTGATCTTCATAGCAATACCAGTGGGAGATAAAGATAACCTCTTAAACGCTTTGTCTTCCACCCATGGAAATAAAAAGAGTCAGAACTGCTATTTTAAGTCGTGTTCTGTTACCAAGCCAGAGCCTCACTCCGTGAGCCACACTGCCCCCTACAGGCCAGATGGTAATAATATGGGAACCAATGGGAAAGAGCGGGTGTGACCACAAAGGCAGGCGGGCCTGGGCAGGTAGAACCATTTCCATTCAAGTGAGACTGAGAAGCTTTCTGAATAGTCCCAAAGATTTTCCCAAGATTTTTCCACATTTGTCGGCACAGGCATGTTGATTCTGAAAAGGTTATCAGTTTCGGAATTTAGAATATATACCATTCTATACTTTCTTTCTATGACATTCTATTAGAGAAGGTAGATCTCTCAGAGCTCAGAATTAAAAGTGTGAGCATTTTATTAATAAAAAAAATACACAAAGTATTTTCCACTTTTGTCCACTGTTGTCTTCTATGCCATAAGAATATTTTCAAGGTAAACAAATTACTCTGTAGGCTGATACAACACACTCCATTCTCAATAACATTTGCTATTCAAAAATCTTATTTTTAGAACAAAATTTTGTTATCACAGAAAAAGATGTGGTGGAAGGGCACTTAATATGCAAATTGCTGACATAACTTAATGTTATCTTCCCTCCTGTTGCTCTTTAATTTGGTGTTGAGCAGCTGAGGGTTGGGGTTTTAATCAAAGAGCATTGAATGAGGTAATTTGTAAAATCAAATAAGGGCTTTAAAAAAAAAAACAAATGTTTTCGTCACCATTTATACCTACAAATTGTAAAATAGTCTTAGAAATGCATTAACTAATTACGACCCCTACAGCTTGGCAGTGTCTAAGTGTAGGCTTATTTTCAAGTGGCGCAGCACAGTGAAAAGGAAAGCATGGGCACTCCAGCCCAGTGAGTAACCCAGGGCCAGTCAGTGATCGCTTTAAGTCTCATTTTCATCATCTGTAAAAACTGAGATAATAATAGTGCCTCCTTCCTATGGTCATTGAAAGGATTAAACGAGATAATCCGGAAAGTATTAGCAAAGTGTCTGGCACATAACAAGAGCTCAGCTCTTAAGATGATGAATGTGAGCGCTCGTACTTAAATGTCACTGTTGTTGTATGCTTTAAAGCAGGAATAGTTTAAGGACTCTAGGAACCATTATGTGTAGCCAAAACAATCAGAGCAGAAACCTCCTTCTCAACTTAGCACAGCAGCTCAGCCAGATCAGGGAGGGAAGACAGCAGGCCAGGCAGACATTCGGTTATCATAGGCCTGGGGACAGGGCTGGGGGAGGTCGGTGGGGAGCAGCCGGCAAGGTCAGGGTTAGGCAAGGGCATGTTGGCCGCTAGTCCAGACTGTGTTAGAAGCTAGCTGGGGGATGGGGCAGGGGAGATGAGGAGGGAGTGGGCAGCAGGGAGTGTAGTGGTTAAGATACTGAACCTCCACACAGCTAACCACGGTTTGAGTCCCAGCCCTAGTGGCTTGAATATCATTCCAGGTGCATGTGTGTGCATGCCCCAAATCCCAGGCGGAGAATGGAGGAGAAGGGATTGTGGTATGGCCATCCCCCCAGGGGTGAGTTGTAACTTTCCTTCTCACTGTCTCTCTCTGGTGAGCACACATGCCCTATGGTAAAAATCTTAAAAAAAAAAAGTTAGGAGTTAGTAGAGGAAAGGCAGGAACTTGAAACAAGACAGGCAGTTGATTAGATTCAAGAAGAGAGAGAATGGTGTAGGCAGCAACAGCAATAGATCAATCCAGGGAAGGAGAGCTGAGAATCAATATGCTGGAAGTGATCAAGCAGGAGTCAGGGCCTGAAGAATGCCCCAAGGAGACACCACACTGACAGCATTTACTAAGACCAAAGGCTTATAACACCAGAGTTTCAAATGGACTCACTGGTTGTTGGAGAAAGCGAATCTCTTTGTGATAAACTTAGTGTGGGTCAGGCATCATTCTAGTTCCTCTATAATCCTGAGGTCCATTCTTGGAGGATGAGAAGACTATCTGTCTGGGGTTCCCTGAGACTGTATGAACCCACACAGTGGGTCTGGAAGGCTGGTCAAGGTGGAACAGAATCACCTTCCTTTTATCAGGTAGCTTGACCCTGTGTAGGCTGTGACACCCAAGAGATTTCAGAATGAATTCTCTGAGAGAGGTCCTGACAAAGTGAGAATCGGTGAGATGTAAACACAAGCTTAGCTGAGTAGACTGCGTCCAAACAGCTAAACATAGGGCTATTTTTTAAATAATTATGACTCAGATAGTTTACATACTTGACGAACTGGAGACTTGGAAGTATCCCCCATATCTTACCTTTTATTTTGTACATTTAGTGTCACATTCCTGCCGTCATCAATACTGAAGTCATTATTATAGCCAATAACCTCTATTAGAATTCTCAGCAGGGTCTGCTTGCTTTCTGACAGTTTCTTCCAATAATGTTTTCTGAAAACCTGTTTTGATTTTCCCTTTTCATAGGCAATTAGTGGTGAGCAAGACTTGCACATACTGAATAGAGTCTTCTTTGTCCCATGAGCTCAGAGTAAAAGAGTGAGGATACCGTGGGCCGAGGAAGCCACCCCCAGTTCAGTCTGACACACCTTATGGCAAACCAAATTGCAAGGGACGTTTGAGGGAGGAAATGTCCCCTACTAAACAACATCAGGGAATCTGGGGACTAGGCTACATCAAATAAGGAAGAACTGTCAGCAAAGCTACGCAAGAATATAAAAAGCATGATGACCGGCGAGTAGGGTGAAGCAGCATGTACACAAGACACTTGAGGTACTAGCACCAAAGCGAGCAGTAGTATAAATAAAATGCAGATATATTCTTCTGGGATTTCAATAAAGCCAAAAGCCTAGGTACCCCAAAACAACACAAAAACCATCCGATATTACTGGTCTCAGTGGCAGTTGATAATTGTCCTGAGCTGAGGCTGTGAGAAGACACCAAGGCAGGAAGTCCAAACCTTTAACTCACAAAGTGATTTCTGATATCGAGTGTCCATCATTCAAATCGAATCTTCAGACCCATTTAATTCTCACTTCTTATTGGCATTCACAGTGAAAGCATCCCAAACACTCAATTTTCACTTTATTTTTTACTCACAAATCATGAGTCCTATGCACACTTGAAGAGCTGGCATTTTCCAGTGTGGTTCACGACTGCCCTCTAGTGATAGCGACAGTGATAGTGGAATCAGTAATGTCAAGCCATGCTCTCAAAAAATTATCTTGGAAAGTGAAGAGTCACTAAACATTTCATTTCTGCTGCCAGCTTAAAAAGAGATCTTCTGTCACTTTTATTTGGACAACTATAAACTCAGTTCATTCCCTCTCTTTAAAATCCATACCGATATAAACCATTTATTAAAGAATATAGTCAATCTAATTATCTGAAAACATTTCTAATAAACTAGTTTTTGCTAACTCTCCATGCGAATACATTATTGTGAGCATTAACTTTTGCTTGCTCTCCATGCGAATACATTATTGTGAGCATTGAGAAACCTTTTTACAACTGAATAAACATGATAACCAAGTAGTAAAGATAGAATTTTTGGAAACAGTATACTTAAACCATTACTTCATCTCTTTTCCTAACTTTTTAGCATTTCAGTGACTTACGAATAATCACAATGGCTAAATCCACAACACTTCAGTTTATCGGTGCAGTACTGATATCCTCCCACCTTTGGTATCTTTCAAAACAAGGACTTTTCAGCCATTTATTTTCATTTCTTCATCTGGCATCCCAGATCATCTTAAACAGAACATCTTAAAAGGTATTCTGTGGGTCTGCAGGTCTGTTTACCTATTCTCTTTCCTATATTCTGTGGGCAATTGTAGTCTGCAGGTCTGTTTACCTATTCTCTTTCCTTACTGATTGCCAACCCCTAAAAATCTGGATACTCAGCACCTCCTGAAGAAAGCAAGCCACATCCCTACATCTGCACATGACAGTATGTCTCCATGAGTGGAGGAGGCTGCCCTTTAGGGGAGGCTTTTCTCCGTTTAGCCACAGGTAGGACTCAGTCCACATCAGACATGCAAGGTACTTACCTGGCCCCTGTAGGTACTGGAGTGGCAACCTGCTTTCAGTTCTTCCTGTAAAAGTCCTCTTTCTAATCCTTATAGCCAAGCTCACCTGAGCACCGTGCAATGGCACCAAAGGTGCTTACTACAAGAATGTGTCATGAAGAAAAGAAACAACCCTCAGGAATAGAGGAATGAAAACTCACAAATAAGGTGAGGTTGATTGCAAGGGCAATCCATTTTCTCCACACTTAAATCAAGTGTGCTTTGTAGTTAGGAATACTGTTCTTGTTTTGAGGCAACCATCTTTCATTATGAGTTTCCATGTAACACAAATGACATAGATCCTCACTGTCACAAACCACCCACTCGGCCCAAGAATTCCTTCTTGCCACCAAAGCCCGGGCTATCAGTTTGGTGGCAAATCAGGCCATGAAAATGGAAACGACACTCACGGGTGTGCTGCTGTCGGAGAAGGTGTTCATGCTGACGGAGCTGCTCAGCTTGTCCGAGGAGATGGAGGGCGGGGACGGGCTCCTTTTCTCCAGGGGGTCCTGCCGCTGCAGGTACTCACGCCACGCTCGCTGAATGCTGGGAAAATATACAAACAAGAAGGCACACATTCTGTCACTCCTGGGCGGCAGCCTGAGACTCAGAAAAGGACAAGGAGTCCAAAGAAAATGGCTTTGGGGACAGGGAAAATGGAACACATAGAATGGAGTGTGGGAAAGCAGAAGACCTGGACACTAGCTCCAGTCCACCTGCTAAGAGTGTCTGTTCTATGGCTTTCACTCTGGCAGACTTGACGGAGCTATGTCAGCCTAAGAGAGTCAACTTAGGCAGAAAAAGTCATCAGTCAAAGTCAAACCAGTTGGCATATGTACATGTAACTTCATTATGGGACACAAAACCTTTCCATTTCTCATCTTACATTTCAAATGAGAATAATAAAAAGCTGACTGTAAATCCTTCTGTCAATATAACATTGCTGAGGGGCCCTTCTGTGCCAGGGTGATCCCACGCTTTAGACAGACCGGGCAGTACAGGTACTAGGGTGCCACTGGCATTGACCACCAAGTGAAGGGCATCAGTGAGGCTGTGTGGTGCAGTCTGCATGGCCCAGTGCAGTGGCCCTGCTCTGGGGACAAGACAGAAAAGCACTGAAAGCATTCTTTTTTATTTCAAAAGAGAGAAGATTTTTGCTATAGGAAACATGTGCTTGCCAGAGAGGCAGAGACAGAAAGCTAGAGATCATTCCCGGGGGGGATGGCCACTCCACAATCCCTTCTCCATTCTCCTCTTAGGATTTTGGGCATGCACGCCCAGCATGAGTTTCAAGCTGCCAGGTTTGGGAATTGAAGCACAGTCAGCCATATGGAAGACCAGTAACATAACCCACTACACCATCATTTGGTCCTGAGGTCATGCATTTTACATACTGTGGAAGCAAACCGGTAATGTACAGTAGCCGACAAGGAAATGAACAGAGGAGACAAACTGTAAGTGTCAGGGACCGTTCAGGGAATGAAGGTAACACGATGAGGTAGCCTGGAGATTTTGCCGAAGGAAAATTTTCATTTCCTGTGCCTAGTGTCAGAAAAGTCACCTTCCACATTAGACAATAGAAACATCTTAGTACAGGGGGCCGGCAGGTGGCATGGTGGATAAGGGCGCTGGGCTCCCACATGGCTGACCATGGTTCAAGTCTCAGACCTGGTGGCTTGCTTTCTCACTTTCTCTCCCTCACTCTCTTTCTCTCTGTGTGTCTTCCTGGTCAAATTAAAAAATAAAATGAATGAATAAATAAAATTAAATAATGTTTTTAAAAAATAAAAAGAAACTTCTTAGTATAAGCTGATGCTTTTTTCCCCACCAACTGATTTCTGACCTTCGAGATTAACATCTAGGTTTTCACAGGCGGTCAGTGAACACAGACTAACTTCTCCTGGGGGTGAGCTGGACATATAGACCAATGGTCAGGATTCCAACTTTTAAAATAGTTTAAAGAAGAGACTGATCTTTGCTAGCAGATGGTAGATCACAGAATACTTGGGCAGGGCTGAATTGAGAAGGTTTATGTGTGACTAGTGTGCTGGGCATTTGCTTGTCAACAATTTGAGTAGCTGACATGTAAATATTTTTTCAAAAATATTTAAAAGCAGGGACCAGCAGTTAGCATAATGGCTATGTCGCTGAACTCCATGTAGCTGAACACGGTTCAAGTCCCGGACCCAGTGGCTTAAACTCATGCTAGGCGTGTGTGCGTGCATGCCCAGGATCCTGAGAGGAGAATGGAGGAGAAGGGATTACGGCATGGCCATCCCCCCGGGGGGTGATTTCTCGCTTTCTGTCTGTCTCTCTCTGTCTTTCTGGCGAGCGTACGCACTCTATAGCAAAAACCTCTCCAAAAAAGAAAATATTTAAAATCATACTGTTTCTGTTGATATAGAGTCACAAACAAAATTATACAAAATTATAAGAAATATTTTGAACATTAAAATTCTGTTGTATTTTGAAATTTTGAATGTTATTTAACTTTTGAGAACTATGGAGTATGAGTTAAAATTTTTTGATATGTAAATGATTGTGGAAAAATGTAAAAATAAATTAAAAAATAAAAAAAAACACTTTAATTGTATTAATTCCATTGCTATCTCATCTAGACTTTTGGAAGTGTCATGTTCTATAATTCTTCCTCATACAAGCTAAATCACTGAAGTTATATTTATATAAACACACAGGTTCATTTTCATTTGGCTAAAATCATTCAAAGAGCACAATTTTTCACTAGTCAGAAGACGTAAATAAAGAATACAGAAATGCTACATTACTGAATCTCTATGTTTTCTTAGTTTATTAAGAATCGGTGAACTATAATACTCAAGTCTGGAAGCTGCACAGTGAAAACAGTATCTCTGGGTCAGAGGACAATTCCCAAACTACAGCTTCAGGGAGCTCTAGCTTGGAGGGCCAGGAGCTTCTTCTGGAGGACTAAAGAGGGAGGGACTCTATGGTTTGTACAGAATTGCAAAACAAAGATATTTTTAGTGTTTTTAAAAGAACCCTCCAAATTATATATACCTCAAACCCCCACTGAAGCAGGATCTGACCCTGCTTTCAGTTATATTTGGACATTGTTTTATTATGCAATGCTTGCCCAGAATTCATCCTTATTCGTTTATGTTTCTTTAGTTTCAAGATTTTAAACAATCTCAGAGAAAGTCCTCCTGTTTGAGCTTAGTAGTCTTATTGTTTTGTGTTTTGTTTGTTTGTTTGTTTGGTTTTTTTTTTTGGAGAGGTTTTCGCTATAGGGCGTGTGTGCTCGCCAGACAGACACAGAAAGACAGAAAGCGAGGAATCACCCCCCTATGAGAGATGGTCACGCCACAATCCCTTCTCCTCCATTCTCCTCTTGGGATCTTGGGCATGCATGCACACGCGCCCGGCGTGAGTTTTAAGCCATCGGGTCCAGGACGCAACCCGCGTTCAACTACGTAGGAGTCCAGCAACATAGCCATTACACTAACTGCTGGTTCCTGGTAGTCTTATTGTTTTGAGGAATCTATTTTATTAGAGGGTGGCAAACTTTTGGGAGCTGTTAGTGTTATCTGCATGTCTAAGGTACTGAGGCTCTCCTAGAACCCAGCTAACAAGTTCTACTACATAAAGGTACCTAATGTCTGTAACCTTGCCTATGAACATCTCAACGTGTGTTACATTTTAAGGCCAGTTTTAAAATAACAAATTATTGGCAACCCACAAATACCCACAAGTTTATAAGACGTTGAGGTATTCCATGCTATCGTTTTTTTTAAAAGAACACTTTTAAGAAAATAAAGGCGATATTTCATTTCATCTTGTTGAACACCAGGGGGCGCTGTGACACCTTCAAAGAACCAAATGATGTGGGGCAAAACCGAGGTGAGAGGTTTGCAAAGGTGGATTTGCACTTGACATTTATGGAATCTAGAAAAGAATATCTTAGTTTTCCTTAAGTCACTTATTAAGAACTGTGTTTTCTTCCAAGTAGATGGATATCCTCCTTTAATTGGTAAGAGCAGATGACAATATTAAACACCTTTAAAATGTGTATTCAAAACACTTCAATGCCCACTAGGTAAAATACAATAGTTATTTTATTTTTGAATATCTAACTTACAAGAATTGTCCACAAATACGGGAACAATTTGACTTAGTTGAAAGCACATTATGCTACCGTATTATTCTCTAATTTAGCACATTTCCACATACTGTGTGTCCTTCATAATTGTGGTTGTAAGGAAAGCACAGGCTGAACAATGCCTTTAAGTTAGCATCAGGGGTTAAAAATGACAAGCCAGTCACATCGTGTTAGGCTTTGACCCTAAGTTGCGACCTTGTTTTTCACTTTTCTTCTTCTTTTCAATGGAGGAATTATCCTAGCCTTATTCTCTGTACATAGAAAACTGCTTAAATCATATAGGGTTTTCCCCCCCATGACCACATCTACAATATAGCCTTCCAGTATTTTTAAACTGTTCTTGTATTAAGCTCTCTTAATGTCATTTCCAAATGCTGTTTCAGTGTAAGAAAGGTTAAAACAAGATGCGGAAGCACCTCGCGTTCCTGAGTCACGAGCAGTCACTTTTCAGGGCCTTCATCCTCGCTGTGTCACAGTAACTACTCACAAGTGCCCTTGGTGGCTGCAAGCAAACTACAGATCACCTTGGCAGGTCGGCCTAAAAATACACTTGGAAAAAATACATTTGTATGGGAAAGCTACACGTGACTATTTTTTTTTTTAATTTTCATTGAAAGGTCATTACACTCCTATAAAATAGGGGTGCTCTTCCCTTCAAAAGGGACTGCGACTGAGGCCCGTAGAGTGGCCTGAGAGAGTGACCCTTTTGACCTGCGAAAAGGGCTCATGTTCCGTGCTGAATTCTCTGCAGGTCTAAGGTACTTCACTTGCAGCGCAGGAGAGGTAGTGTCCCAAGATCGCCCAGTGGTCCCAAGGCCACACAGTGTGACAAACAGATCCGGGATTTGAACCTGCGCTGCTCATATTCCAGAAACTGTACTCTCAATCACTCTTCTCTCATAGCTTTTTTTTTCTTTTTTTTCTTTTTTATGGAGAGGTTTTTTGCTATAGGGTGCGTGTGCTCACCAGAAAGACAGAGACAGACAGAGAGATAGAAAGTGAGAAATCACCCCCTAGGGGGGATGGCCATGCCGCAATTCCTTCTCCTCCATTCTCCTCTCTGGATCTTAGGCATGCACGCACATGCGCCCAGCGTGAATTTAAGCCAATTACGCTTGAACCACAGTCGAGTACAGGGGAGTCCAGCGACATAGCCATTACGCTAACTGCTGATCCCTCTCATACATTCTTTTAATTAAACTTCAAAGTAGATCAGCATGATGCTCAAATGCAATTAATCAAGGCTTTGCTGGGAAATGTCTTTAAAATTGCTAGAGGGATTAACTTCCTTCTCTAGAGTGTTCCCTTCTCTCTCTCTCCTTAGGGGAACTGAATGTTGTTTCATTACAAAATCAAATGTGTTAATAAAAACCAACAAATCGAACACATTTAATGAGCAGTCTTTTAAAAGACGATTTGTATTCAGTATCTCTCTCTGTTGTTACATCACAGAATATATTATTAAAACATGAGGAAAGGGTTTACATAGTTGATGAACATTTTTTAAAATTTATTTATTTATGTTTCCCATAAGAGAGATAGAAATAGAGAGAGTGGGACCTGTACCCCCAACAGAGTCTTGACGCCATGATCCAATGTCAGCCCCAATCAGGCCTGGACTGGGGCATACGGATGACTGCTAAACCAGGGAGGTCTCCAGATGTCAATCCAGAACTGTCCCATCTGGGTCAGCCTAGTAAAATCGGTATCATGTTTTACTGCTGCCCCATGGTCGGATCCCCCCATGGCCAACTTTTAAATGATGGCTTGTATCAGGAAGATCTGTTGTAGATGTTGCTGCAACCTACTAAGGATGGCCGCATCGTGAACAGCCGTGGCTTGACAGATTTGGAGTCTTTCTCTTGCTTTGCAGTCCCCACTGCTCTTCTTTGATGGGGACCTTCATCCCCAGACCTCCTTCCAGCCTTGACTCTCAAGAACAGTCAACACTCATCTTTAGTCTCAGGGCTGCAGAGAGCACCTTCATTTGGGAGCTTTTGTTATGATTAATTTTGCTTTCACTAAATTTTCTGACTTGAGGGGCTTGCCTTTGCTAGATGTTCGGAAAACCTGTCTTTCACCTCCCCTACATGCCTTTTCATTAAGAGTGTGGCAATCTTGATTGCTTTTCCCTTTCAGTGTAGTCCTTTGATCCTCCAAGTCTAAAACTCCAAATTACCTAATTACAGTTATATTCATGGACCAGGTAATATACCTTTCAGACACTTCCTCTAAATTCTATGCCCCTTACACACACACACACACACACACACACACTATTTTTCACTGAGCCATGCTTTCCAATAGGCCTTGGCTTCCTTCCACTGTTAATCTGTACTGCCAGGTACAGTTTTACACCTGATTAAAAAGTCTTTCCTTTCCATGTTGTCCTAAGTTCAAAGAATCATCTGAGACTCTTCTCTCCCCATCCTAACTCGTCCTCACTCTGCAGGCATCCAGTGGAGGCAGTCTGTGTCTGAGAACAATTCTCATTTTGTCTGTCTTGTCTTTGACATTTAGAGATGGGCCCGGCACGGTTCCCACCCCCTACCTCTGGGGAATGCAAAACTCTGTGCTAGAACTTAGTGCTCCCTCCTCATCAGGGAGGAAGACTGTGTGCTGTGGTGACCCTCACCTCTCTCTTCCTTTGGGGGAAGTTAGATATTCAGCTGGTCTAACCAACAGAAGTCAGAGAAAGCCTGTAACATGGGAGAGTGACCCTTTCGACCTGGAACAGGGGCTCATGCTTCAGTCTCAATGCTCTGCAAGTCTAATGAACTTCACTTACAAAGTAGGAATGGGAGTGTCCTGAGATCTCCCTGTTGAGGATGCCAAGGTCATCCGGGGAAGGCACTATAGGTGGGATGTGGGAGACAGCCTCAGCAGAGCCAGGAGCACAGGCTCAATGAGGGGGGTGCAGCTTAGAGGAGAACCAAAAATCCCTTCTCTCAGGATCCCAAGCCTTAGAGATGTTTTAAAGGAAATGACTTTCTGGGAGTAAAAGTATTCACATCCATTGATGGGAAATCTAGAAGGCTCCTGCTGCTTAGTATGTGGGCCATGGGACAACTGCACCAGCAGAGGAGGGGAGGGGAGAGTAGAAAGACAGGGAAGGGAAGAAAGCAGCCCACATGGCATGGAAAAGGTCTCACGTGTATGGAGGGAGACGTTCAACTGCCATGAGAGTTAAGAATTTAATAACCAGATTAGACCAAAGTCAGTGAACTGAACCAAATTCTCTGATGGGACTCAAATTCCATTATTGGGTAAGATTAAAGATTAAATTCTCTCCCTCATCCTCCTCCAGTGACTGGAAATGGGGTTCAGAGCTAATAGGAGAGATAAAAACCATTCTGTTTGCACCTCACTGAACTGAGACTCCACCATCAAACCAGCAAACACAGAATCATACAATCCCAGGCTCTCCAAGCTGGTTGGAATCTCAGACACAGACATTTTTTCTTTGCCTATTTCTGCTCCTGGCACCTGCCCCTCAGCCTCTACTCATTGGGTGTGATGGAAACTGGAAATGACCACAGAGGTTTTCTAACTTAATTACAGCATTCAAATTAAACCCTCTAATTTTTCATATATCAACTTTCCTTTCCAGTGCTTTTTCATTTTATAGGGTCTTATCTTAATGAGAAAATTCCTAATGATAAACCAACCTGTGTTTGCAAACTGATGTCGCATATAGTGAGGCGGACACACTGCTTACATAAAATGATGTGATGGCCTGATTCATTATGCATTTAGTACATGTGACACAGAGCTTCCTAGCAGGGAACCCAGCTGGCTTCTAAAACCATGTTTGGACTTGAGAAGTCACCTGATGTGTTCACAGAGCCAAGCTTTCGGCTGATGACCAAGGTTAATGCAGATTTACAGGGGTGTGTAATAATATTCGCTTTTATCCAGTAGGATATTACTTATATATCGGTGTCATCTCTGTTTCAATTCCTAAATCCAGCAATGACTTACTGTTCTTCAAATTTGAACACCCCAAGGTGCCCTTTTTCAAGGTGATTTCTTTTATATAGGATTACTCCTTAGGCTTTTTTGCAAATGTTCAGTGATTCTAACCAAGCACAGGCATATTTAAATTCTCCGATATGAGCTTCTTGGAGTGTTAAGCTGAGTGGTGTGTGTGTGTGTGTGCGTGTGTGTGTGTGTGTCCATGCATGTGTCTGTGTGCATGCGTATGTGTGTTAGAGAGAAAGGAAGAGAGAGAGAATATACATTCTCAGTGGCAATTCTTTCTTTCTTATTTTTTTTTTGAAGAGGTTTTTGCTATAGGGTGCATATGCTAGCCAGCCAGACAGAGAGAGACAGAGAGACAGAAAGAAAGAAATCACCCCCCAGGGGGATGGCCATGCCGCAATCCCTTCTCCTCCATTCTCCTCTCGGGATCTTGGGCACGCACACACATGCACCCAGTGTGAGTTTAAGCTACCAAGTCCCAGACTTGAATCATGGTCGACTACATGGGAATCCAGCGACACAGCCATTACGCCAACTGCTGACCCCAAGGCAATTCTTATACTCATCCCTGAAGTAAAATAAGAATGGGAAAGGTTCACAGAAAAGTTATGAACAGTTTGCAATTGTTTTCAAGGTGATTCTGATAGCCTCCTTTTTTATTTAAACATGGTTTTAAGGGGCCAACAGGTGGTGTGGTGGTTAAGGTGCTGAATTCCCACATGGTTGATCACAGTTCAAGTCCCAGACCCAGCAGCTTGAAAATCACAACAAATAAATAGATAAATAAATAAGTAAATAAATAAAATGGCTTTAAAAGGTTGTTGTCTGGGCCAGCAGGTAGCATAGTGGCTAAGGCACTCGACTCCCACACGGCCAACTGTGGTTCAAGTTCCAGGCTTACAACACCAGGCGTGTGTGCATGCATGCTCAAGATCTCAAGAGGAGAATGGAGGAGAAGGGATTATGGCATAGCCATTGCTTGCTTTTTTTTCTCTCTGCCCTCTAGCAAATACATGCACACTGTAGCAAAAATCTCTATTTAAAAAATCGCTGTTGTATTCTATAGTATAGCCTGTCTCACTTTGGTTTTTATTAGCTTCATCTCTGATCATATATATAGAGGGGGAAATGAAAAACCACCTCTCCTGGGGAATGGCCACGCCTGGGGAATGGCCACGCCGCAGTCCCTTCTCCATTCTCCTTTTTGGATTGTGGCTATGCATGGACACATACCCAGTGTGTTTTTTAAGCTGCGAGGTCCAAAACTCAAACTGCACAGTCATATGGGATCCAGTTCCTTAACTACCAGGCCTCCAACTGACCCAAGACGTTTATTTTTCAAAATAATTGAACAAGAGTTGGAAAGATGGAAACAGTGACAAGGATGAGGGTTTTAAAAAGAATGTATGTGCGTGTGGCATGTGCGTCTGTGGCTACGCACACAGTAAAGAAATGGCCTGAGGGGGGAATAATAAAGTTGTTCTGAGACAGAAGTAAGTTACTGCGATGAAAGTGGAAAACGCTAGAGGAAGTTGAAGAACTGTACTCAACCTAGAAGGGAAAAAAAACAAGAAATACTGAAGAGATGGCACTACACTAATTCCCTCCTTGGGGACCAGAAGGCGGTGCAGAAGCAGTGAAACTGTAAAGTCCTGGGTTTGCAGCCTGGGGCTCCCTCTGCACACTGAATGCATGCAATGATACATGCCAGTGATCTGGGCTGACAGAAGCTGAGGGGGGAGTGTGGAGTGAAGACCATGTTGGTTGTGTCTGTCCCTCTGCTTCTGTCACTCGTGGAATACATGAACAGAAATAATAACAGTAATTCCTCGCACTGTCCAGTAGGTGGTGCCTTGTGCCCGAGCAGCTTCCTAACTGCTTGGATCAGGGAGGAAATGATAGGCAGTCCGTTAGTGTGAATAGAGAAATGTGTGATTCTTTTTTTTCGTTCACTTTTTTTTTTTTTTGAGAGGTTTTTGCTATAGGGCATGTACACTCACCAGAAAGACAGAGTCACAGAGATAGAAAGTGAGAAATCACCCCCCCAGGCGGGATGGCCTCTCTGCAATCCCTTCTCTTCTATTCTCCTCTCGGGATCTTGGGCACGCATGCACATGTGCCTGGTGTGAGTTTAAGCCACTGGGTCCGGGACTCAAACTGCGGTCGACTACATGGTAGTCCAGCAATATAGCCATTACACCAACTGCTGGTCCCGAGAAATGTGATTCTTAAACTCCCAGATTCCAGATTCATTTAGAAGCTCATAGAACAAAAACTGTAGAATTAATTGCTTCAGATAAAGTCTGAAATAACTTACATTTTCACCTTTGATTCCAAGGGTTGTAGATTGAGGGGATATTTTTCAATATTATTCTCCACATCCATGGCCAGCTGGTGACTGGAAGCAGAAATAATTCACTAGTAAGCACAACTCAGAAAGTTTATAACATTTATAACATTTACAACACTAATTTATATGCTTGAGAAAAACAGAGATAGATTTCATTTTATTCATTTTCATTTATTACCAGAGTTCTGAAAGTTCCCACTGGCACAGATGGATAAATAAACATGTTGTCAGATGAAAATGTTGCTTTGACTTTTACTTTTGCTATCCTTTGATTTCTTCGTTCAACTCAACATTCATAGGTACATTATGAAAATCATTCTCTTTAAGAGAAAAAGAAAGCAGACTATTGGGCCATTTCAGGGGGGAGTGCTATAAATCCCATAAGACTGGTCAACTCGTAAGTTGTAGAGAAGATCTCATTCATCCCAAAAGTGTTGCTACCCTTGAGACTTTCCTCCTTTCATTCTGCAAGCTGTTGCCGGGCTCCCTCTGAGAACAAAGATGACTCTCTGCCCTAGAGACAGACAGAAGCCTAGAGGCATATAATCACTATTTCTTTTTCTTTTCAAAGATTTTTGCCATAGGGCATGTGTGCTTATTGAAAGAAAGAAAGAGAAGCTCCCAGAGGATAGTCATGCTGCAATCCCTTCTCCTCTATCCTCCTCCAAAAATTTTGGGCATGCACCCACTTGTGCCTGACATGTTTTTCAAGCCACTGACTCTAGGACTCCAACCACAGAGTTGGCCATGTGGGATCCAGCACCTTAATCACCGTGCCACCAGCTGCCCATAATCATTATTTCTAATAAGTGTATAAGACTCACTGGATGTGGCAATGGTCAAGCAGTGTTTCATGGAGAAGGAATTCTTTTTTTTTTTTTTGAGAGGTTTTTGCTATAGGGCACGTCCACTCGCCAGACAGAGAGAGACAGAGAGATAGAAAGTGAGAAATCACCCCCCAGAGGGGATGGCCACGCCGTAATCCCTTCTCCTCCATTCTCCTCTTGGGATCTTGGACACGCACGCACACGTGCCCTGTGTGAGTTTAAGCCACCGGGTCCAGGACTCAAACCGTGGTCGACTACCTGGGAGTCCAGCGACATAGCCATTACGCTAACTGCTGGTCCCCGAGAAGGGATTCTTGGCTAGGTGTTGAAAAATGTAGGTAAGAAAGTAAGAAAGTTGAGGGAAATATGAGGAAGACAGTAAAACGAGAGTATAGATGGAAAAAAAAAGGTCAAAGTCTACTCTTAGAAAATAAAGAGAGCAATTTGGTGAGAGTGGATGATAAAAGTAGGAGGATCAAAGAAAATAAATTTGGATATGCAGAGAATAATAGTTATTGGTCATAGGATGTGTGCAAAACTCCGACAGAGACATTTTACATTTATTATCTTCTTTCATTCTCACAGTAATCTTCATCAAAGCAGTGCCCACGGTAGAGCTGAGTAATCAGAAGCTCAGAGGGATTAGGTTAGCCTCACTCTATGGGAGGAGCCATATTAAAATCACGCCTTAGTCTCTCCACCTCAAGGTACTAGTTGCAGAATTTTAATATTAGGCTTATTAGACATAATCCTACTGACTGCAATTTCCACAAGTAATCTATCCCATATACCAAGTCAACACACATGCATATGACAAGGGGACAGCGTGTGTGTGTACTTGTGTGAAACCAAAGCTTCATAAAATACTCATTTCTCAATACCTGTGATACACTCTGATTTCTCAAATTATATATCAGACTTGTAAAAGGTCAGTAATGAGTCACCAGATTGATTCAGCACACCATCAATGGATTGTGACCTGCAGAGTGAAAACTACTTCTACAGGGAAATCCTAAGTGCTCAAAGCAGGAAAATATTATGAATGGGATGTTTCAGGAAGATCTGCAGTGGGAGTGAGTGAAGAGAGTGGAGGAAAACTAGTTAGAAAGCTATTCAAATTGGCTAGTAATGAGGATGAGGATTGTGGTGAAAGTAAAGAAAATGAAAACATAAGGGGGAATGTGTGGCCTCAGGATCACACAAGTATATTCTCCTTTTTTTTTTTTTTTTTTTTTTTTTTTTTTTTAGAGAGAGAGAGGCAGAGCCAGTTGGGTGGGTGGTAAGAAAACACGGCAGGGCAGGTAAGTACCTATGTGGACACTAGGTGGTGCCATCAGCCCAAGATAGCTTTGTGGTTGCACAGGCTGGTTGCTGAGGCACAAGGAGAGCACTGTTTTTCTGTTTCTCTGTGCTGTTGGTATTCAGGATTCACTATAAATTTATTATTATTCACTTGTACCACAAACATATTTCATGTTTTTCTGTGTGTGTGCCAGTGGTCCAAATGCTAGACATGGTCACCATTTTTATGGTCTTACCATCTAAAAAGAAGATGGACATTGAACAACTAATTACAAGTGTGACAGATGTTATTAGAAGGGAAACAGGGAGGTACCTAATCCAGGAGAGGTGAGGATGGATTATCTCATTGTACAATTTTATGGCTTTATAGAGACCAGTCTTATAACCAGGATACTTTAAGAATCTGTTAATCAGGGGGCCAGAGGTGGCATAGTGTTAAGGTACTGGACTCCTGCATGGACAACTGTGGTTTGAGTCCCAGACCTGGTGACCTGAAACTCATGCCGGGCACATAGGTGTGCATACCCTGAATCCTAAGAGAAGAATGGAGGAGAAGGGGTTGCAGCATGGCCATCTGAGGGGTGATTTCTTTCTTTCTCTCCATTCCTCCGGCAAGCCCTAACGCCAAAAATCTCTCAAAGAAAAAGAACTTGTTAATTACAAATTAGCAAATCAGGCAACAGCGAGAGCTGAGTAGGTTAGGAGCATGTAGCTATACAATGCCCAAAGACAAAGCTACACTTTTCATAAAGAAAAGAAAACATTTATAGTATTAATACATTTGCTAATAAGGGATAACCTATAAATTATGCAACCTATAAACTACAAATACCTGCTGGTTTAAATTGGATGATTCATTCCATCAATAATTGCCTGGGTTTAGTAAAGTGATTATCTATCAGTAGAATGTGCACCTTGCAATCACAACTCTCCCACCAGAGACCTAGCCCGATTCTGTATTTACAGAAATGACAGTCAGGACAAGGTCTTGCGTAATGTAATAAATGATGATCATAAACAGCACCATAAGCAGACACCTAATTAATGGCCTTATCCATTGCTCTTCCCTCTGTTCCTAGGCACATGCCGAGCTTCACTGAGCTTGTGTGTATGCACACATGCACCCCAATGGCCCTGCATATGGTCTCAGATTGCATGAAGTTACAGCTTCCCTCCCCTTCACACCCACTGTCTACCACAAAACCCTGTTGAGCATTCAGAATAAATGTAATGTTCCAAGGGGGAATAACCGATCAAGTGCTATGACACCACGATCACTTAACTTCTGGTCATTTGGAGTACCGAGATGATTTACATCAGCACCTAAGTCAGCTACAGCTGTAATGAAATGCCTAATCTCTCACTCAACGGACACCCATTTTTCAGTCAAACTTGACAGCTTTCAAGGACACAGTCTTGCCCTGAAGCAGACCAGGAAATCTTCAGAATTCCAAGCAAATGGGTGTCTTAGTTAAGGCGAGAGTCACTTCCTGTTTTTTCTGTTCTGTCCCAGTAGGAAAGGGAAGGGTATCCCATGGGCCCACTTGTTTTGAGGGGAGACTTTAATTTTCATTTCTAGAATTCCTCAATCACGATTGGAAACAATAAGTATACAAAATAGACTGGTCATTTCCAGAAGTTTTAGGTTCTCCCAGGTCTCTGAATAATGAAGGGGGAGGGGGCACAGTAACCCACAGACAAACCATTCATTTTCATACATCTACGTGAGAGAGCGAGCTGCCTAAGGTACATGCTGTGTTAGTGAGAGGTTTAATACAGAGTTGCGGTCAATTAGTAAAGAAAAAAAAAAAACTTCTGGAGTTCATTTCCTACATTAAAATCAATAATGAAAAACTGGCATAGCCAGATTTAATAAATAAATGGGCTGACATCAAAGGGGAAGCGTGTCCTCGGAGAATCAAGCTGCATGAGGAGATTATTGAATAACCAAAAGGAATCAAAAATGAATCAACACCACTGTTCCTCAACCCCAGCTCTTCACTAAAATCCATGAAGAATGCTGTTAAAAGACAGGGGTTCCAGGGCCTCATCCCCAAGGATTCACATTCAATTTGTCTGGGGTGGGGCTTTAGCTGAGGCGTTTTTATTTCTCTCCCCAGGCAATTCTAAGTGCAGCCACAGTGAAGAAGCACTGACCTAGACCTAATGTCTTTGCAACACTAATCTTCATGGAAGAAAAAGCTGCTCTGTGTCAGCTAAAAACTCTTCCATTATTATTGTCTGTACATAGCTAGTGATGGGGGAGTAAACTATTTTATTCTTACTAATTCATATTAATGAAAGCAGGCATAACAATGATGAATTAAATCCATAGGTAATCCAGAAACTTCCTTTGATCAAAGAGCTAGAGCTGCCTTTCTTGCCACACTGTCACATCTTACAATCATGGTGATGAATGACCTCAGGAGGACGTGTGGTCCAAACACAGGCCCAGCCGGACAGGGAAGGGAGCCAGCGCTGAAGCCCCTGTGCGTCATGGGGTGTCTCATTTCATGCTGTAATAAGACTTTCGAACGAGTCTAGTCTGCTCATTTTCAGAGGTGAGTAAACTGGAGCTCAGGGTGGTTACATACTCACAAAATTGGGAAAATGCAGGAAGAGAACTCAAATCTAAACTTCCTCAGTTTTACTAATGTTTTGAACCACATGGAGGTGACCGATCATCTATGCTCTTCTTTGGCATTTCCACTACTGATTAACTTCCTTCTTAACAAAGATGTCCATTCTGTTGTCGGGCAGGCTAAGTTTTTTTTTTTCTTCTTTCTTTTTTTTCTTTTTTTAATAGGGCACGTGCACTCACCAGAAAGACAGAGAGAGACAGAAAGCGAGAAATCACCCCCCAGGGGGGATGGCCATGCTGCAGTCCCTTCTCCTCCATTCTCCTCTCGGGATCTTGGGCACACACGTATATGCGCCAGGCATGAGTTTAAGCTACCAGGTCCAGGACTCAAACCGTAGTCGACTACATGGGAGTCAAACGACATAGCCATTATGCTAACTGCTGGTCACTCTTTTTATTTTTTTTTATTATTTTTTTTTTAATAAAGTCGTCTTTTTTCTGACTCACAAAGCCAATTATCCTACTCACTGATCCTGGTCCTACGTTTTCAAGCAAGGGGAGTAATCAGCCTTTCTTTTATAGAAGCATTTCTGCAAATGTTTAAGGATAGCTGATCTCTGGAGCCAGCAAGTGGCATGGTGGTTAAGGGTGCTGAACTCCCATATGGCTAACCATGATTCGAGTCCCACACCTAGCAGTTTGCTTTCTCACTTTCCCTCTCTTAGACAAATTGAAATAAATAAAATTAAATAAAATAATTCTTCTTTTTTTTTTTTTTTTTAAAAAAGATAGCTGTTCTCTTTCTTCTGAGGGCTTTTCTTCGAGCTTCACATCTTCAGCTCTCAGCAGTTGTTTTACGTGGTTTCACAACCCTCACAATTTTAACTGACCTCTTCTGGTGCTCTCAGAAACATCAGTGAGCTTTTTTTTTTTTTTTTAAAAAAAAAAAGGTTTTTCTTTCTCCTATGAGCAAGAGAGGGTGAGACAGGGAGAGAGAGAGAGAGACAGCAAGGAGACAGCAAGGAATCCATTCCCACCTTCAGCCAGCCCCAGATCCTGGACATGCCTGCTCCCAGAGTATTCAGAGACCTTCAGGTGAGAACCCGGGATCTTCCCTTGTGGTCAGTCTCAGAGAACGTTGTGTTACCACCAGCCTCTTGACATAATTTTTGGTTTGTTTTTTGTTTTTTTGTTTTTTTGCAGAGAGATTTTGCAATAGGGCATGCACACTTGCCAGAGAGACAGAAAGATAGGAAGTGAGAAATAACTCCCAAAGGGGGGTGGCATGCGCAATCCCTTCTCCTCCATTCTCCTCTCAGGATTTTGGGCATGCACACACAGTAGCCTGGTGTGTTTCTAGCAGCCAGGTCTAGTTGGCCATGTGGGAGTACAGGGACATAACCATTACACCATCTGCTGGTCCCTTGATATGCATTAAAGTATAATGCCTAGAGTTAAGCATGATACACATAGTCTTTAGTCAGTAATTGAAGGCAAGGATTTTGGAGGCATTCAAATTAGACTTATTTCCCCTCCTCATACTCACTAACTGAGTATAGTTGGATGCTGTCAAAACCTCACTGAGCCCATTTCCTCGTCTGCAAAATATAAATACCAGGAAATCTCAAAAAGTTCATAGAAAAACTGAATTAAAATATAAGTGTAGTTTGGGGCAAAAAAATTTTCATAACATACATTTTCCATGAAGTTTTTGAAGCTCCTCCCCCACAGTACAGCCTTATATAAAAAGGCTGTCGTCAGAATTCGATGAGGAAATGTCTATCAACATTGAATAGTACACAGGACATTGTAAACACTCAACACGTGTTTGCTAGTTTTTCTTCTCTTGTTTTGACAATACATGCTTATTCATGAGTCTAACATGCCAGTATTTTAAAAGCCATATAAAATCTCATGCTATGTTAATATCAACTAAAACCTCTAAGCATTTGCCCCCAAACTGAAATCAGGATATATCTTTCACATGATTTAATTATATAACTTTTTTTTAAAACCTAAGACTTTACTTTTATTTCTATTCAATTTCTTCTGTCTTTTCTTTCTTTTTTAAAGCTGTTTTTTCCCAGTCTACAGGGTTATTTTGAATGTTCCTTCTATTCTTGTCAGTTTGTACTTTTTGCAAATTTTATGCCTGCGTTATATAAATGTTCCTGATTAAAAACCAAAGACAGGGCAGGGTTACATCTCAATTCCAGACATACCACCAGAGACACCTTCCAGGCATCATACTCTGTTAATTAGAGCTTGTATACTGTCGCTCAAGTAATCATAAATCTACCCAATTCTATCTCAGTGAGCCATCTTGCTGGGTCCTGACCACAATATCATAAGAAACTGTCAGATTTACTCATTGATTTTCACCTTGCTAGGCAGTTTTTTGGTTTCTGTTTTTCTTTTTAATGGAAGCTTTTCAGCCTTACAAACAATTTAACTGCTTTCAATCATGTTTACTTACTTTTCAAGTAAGTATTTTCCATCATTAACTGGTTGTAAAGGATTCTGCAATCTTTTCAGTTCTTCCTGTGAAGAGAGAAAAAAAATATTTTGCAAATCAACATATATACTTCCAAGGAATACTATCTGAGGACCATTATCAGCAAAATTGAGATAATACACTGTGAAGCGATCTAGATTTAGGGAAGGTAAGTGTTTCCACAATACAATTAGATCTTTGACCTTACTGGAGTAGAATACTGTCACTCAAATTATGTAATTTTTCATCACTAAAAATAATGCTCCTTGGGTTTTTTTGTTTGTTTTGTTTTTCCTGAACAGAGATATGTTTATATTGATCCAAGCATGCTCTTCCCAAATTTACCCTGTTGAAAGTATTGTTTGCCAGTTGCTGGGTAAGAGACTAATGAATGTGTTGGGTTTGGCTATTCAATGTTCAGACTCTTAACTCTTGGTAACTCTTGGTAACCTCTTCCTTACAGTCCAAGTGCTCACACACAAACACACACATACTCACACACACAGTTGCAATAGCCCTCCCCTGAATTTCAGCCATCAACAGTCTATGTAATCCCAATTCTCCAGTCATAGGGCTATGATGGAAGTTGGCCCAGGTTCCTGTTGTCAGCGTTGTCAATCACAGGAGGATTTAAGAAAGGTTTACAGACTCTTCCTTGGAATGCCACCATTCCCTGCTACCTGCCTCAGCCCCAGAAATGACTAAAGTGATCAGTTTCCTCAGTTTCTGAAGACAGCCACAATCCGAATAGTTATTCATCTGCTTCTTTTTTAAAATTATTTATTTAACTTTATTTATTCATTCATTTAATTTGATCAGAGAGGGACAGAGAAAGAGAGTGAGAAAGCAAGCCTCCAGGTCCAGGATTTGAACCATGGTTGGCCATGTGGGATTGTCCAGCGCCTTAACCACCTAAAGACCATCAGGACTAGCCCCAACATACTAATACCCCACCAGACACTCAGGTCTCCTAAATCATGCTCCATTGTACAATCTTTTTAATTTCATTACTGAACTTTACATTCTTGAATTTGATCTAACCATCCATCTCTTTCCTGTCTCTTCAGTCTTTCTAATGGGGTCTTGGGAATTCACAGTCTGTCATCAGCAAAATTCCCTGTCTCCCAATTTCTTCGAATATTCGCTTACTTCCTTTTCTTATTGAACCATGCCTCACTCTTCAGGGGAAGCTAAGTTTAGTTAGAGCAAGATCCAAGAACTGTTTAGAAAGGTGCTTTAGCACACAGAGGGCATTGCTGGTTACAAACTTGGATGAGTCCCTGAGCATCCTTCCTCCTCTGCAGTCCCCTTATGGGGTGGCCATTTCTTCCCTGTAGAGTACACCATCCAGAGGAGGGGCCCTGCATTTCTCAGTGCTGCTTTCAGATCTTCCCAACTCCTACAAAACCTCAGCTGCTCTGGAAACATGCCACTGTCTGTTCCAGTCCTCTGTCTTCTCTTTGCAATCAACTCCCCTCTCTCAAGGGTCCAGTTTTAATTTCTCTCCCTGTAGATTAATTTTGCCTATTCTGGAATGATATGTATGTATTTATTATTTTGTGTCTGCCTTAATTTACACATTACAGTTGGACATTTATGTTTGCCATTGCATGCATCGGTAGTTCATTTCTTTTCATTGCTGAGTAGTATTTCATTGTATAAGCACAGCACCATGTATTCATCCATTCTCCTGCAAAGGGACATTCAAATTGTTTCAGATATTGCCTGAGAGGAATAAAGCCACTCTGAATAGTCTCATGTAAATCTCTTTGTACATGTATTTCTTCATTTCTCCTTGATAAGTATCTAGGAGTGAAATTGCTACATCATTAGATAGATATACATTTAACTTTTAAAGAAACTCAGCACTGTAAAGATGTATAGTGATTAAATACAAATAAGAAAATATTAAACATTTAGAAAAATAAAATGTTCAAACACTTTTCTAAAGTGCTTGTACCACACCGTAGTCCAAATAGTGATCTATGTGAGGTCTAGCTGGCCTATGTCCTCACCAACATTTGATGTTGTTAGTGTTTTTAGTTTCAGTCATCTTAGTGGATGTGTGGGACTTCATTGTGATCTCAAGTTGCATGTCTCTGATAATTAATGATATTAAGTATCTTTACATTTGTTATTTAATTGGGTCCTATGACTTATTATTGAGTTGCAGTTCTTTATATAGTTTGGGGTACAATTTTTGTGTCAGATTACTGTATTACTGACAGCTTCTCTCAGTCAACAGCTTTCGACAAGCAGGAGTTTTCATTCTTATAGGATACAATTTGTTTTATTTTTCATGATTTGTGTTTTCAGCATCCTAAGAAGTATTTGCCTACCCCAATGTAGGCAAATATATTTCCAGCACCCGGAATAGCACCCAGCACATAGTAGCTGCTCCAAGGATGTGAGTTGATTAAACTATTTCAAGATTTAGAACATTTTGGTTTATGCATCTGGAAATTGAAGCATAAAGATTTTGAAGCTTCAGAAACTCTAAAACTATAGTGTAAGAATTTGCTGCTGTGATGGGTACCAACTAGAAGAAAAAGGTAACATGAAAAGTAAATGACAGCAAAGGAAAACAGAACCAAGGGACCAGGAATCTGGTAATAAAATAGATGGTCCCCTCTATTTTCTTCTAGAAGTTTAATAGGTTATTTACATTTAGATCTATGATAGGTCTTAAGTTAATTTTTGTGTATGGTGTGTAGTAGGGATTGAGATCCATTTTTCTTCATATGAATATAAGTGTAAATCTACCGAATGGGACTTCTGTATCGTTTTTCTGATACAAAACAGATTCAGTCAGTCAGTGGCTTTTGACCTTTGTCCTTCTCTCTTCTTCCTGCCTGGATTATAATAATGAGATCCAGACATGCAGAAGCCATTGACCTATGAAGAAGAAAGCCACACACCAGGGATAGTAAAATAGAAAAATAGGAGGCACCTGGGACCCTGAAGAAATTAAGGAGCTGCTACATCAACCATGATCTATCAACATCTATGCATTTTGCAATGTTAGAAGACCAACCTACTTATTAATCCATCAGCAGTAGACAAATACAGATAAGAAATACACATGCTCGTGTTAATAATGCTCCAGTGATTTTCCACCACTTCTGAAATAAAATGCAAATTTGTCACCATGGCCTACAGATCCCTAAGTAATATGAACCCCTACCTGGTTGCTCACCACTCCTTCCTCAACCCGTGCACACATAGCTCACTTTTTTTTAGCCATATTGGTCTGTGATATTTCAGAAATGGCAAAGCTTTCATCCTCCTCAGAGCACTTATCTTTGCTATCCTCTCTGCACGGAGCATCTGTTCCCATAATCTCACATGGTTCACTCCCTCACTTCATGCAGGCGTCTGCTCATATATCACTTTCTCAGAGACGCCTGCCTTGCCTGGACTCTAAATGGTCAACCGTCGCTCACTACACACTTGCCATGCTTCATGTTTTTATTCATTCTCTATGGTCATGATCACTTCCTAATATGTTATATGTGTGCTAGTTTTAGTTCTCTCCCTCCACCAGGTGGTCAGCAGCTTCACAGGAAGCAGGTTTTAGTTACATCCATCACTGTATTTTCAGCACCTGGGACAGCGCACAGCACGTAGAAGTTGCTTCGACGATGTGAGCTCTTTAAACTATTTTGGGATCTAGAACATTTTGGTTTATTCATCTGGAAGTTGAAACAAAGATTTTGAAGCTTCAGAAACTCTGAAACTATAGTGTAAGTATTTGCCACTATGACAGGTGCTAACTAGAAGAAAAAGGATGACACAGAAAAGCAAATGACAGCAAAGGAAAACAGTCAAAAGGCCGGGGATCTGGTAATATATACACCCTACATATGTATTTGTATACACACACAATGCTAAGAAAGCTAACTGAAAAATGGTGTTTCTCAGTTTGCATTCTATAACCTAGGGCTACAAAATACATAAATACATAATTCTAAAATGAGCCACAGAATTATAAAGTTCAGAACAGGCCAGTTGTTGATGTTGTTTGCTTGTTTTGTGTTGGCAATTTTTAAAAATGTCTTGTACAGAAGTCTAATGGGTAAAGCAGACCATAGTTTTCGGTTCATTTCTACTAAAGGCTGCTGTCTTTATATCAAAGATTGGTATAACAAATCTCATATGAAGAAAATTTCTCCACATTCTGCAAAATTGCTGTATATGACATTGTTCATTTTGCTACCGGATCTCTCTTACAGTTAATGAAATGAAAGAAAACTACCTTTTACAATTTACTGGTGGGGATATGAACCCCATTTGATATAATAGCACACTTCTTTTCAACAACAGTAACAACTCAGAAGTCTAATAGAGGTCGTTTATTTCGTTTGGTGGCTAGAAGCTTAAATTAAATATTCAACTATCATAAGTATTTTTGCCAGGCTGTTAGTACAATCATTTCCTCCTCCTTTCACTACATCCTATGTGAATATCTTTATTTTAACTCTGTTACTGTTGGGCTCTTGGAAAAGTCATGACACATTTTTTAAAAGAATTATTTACTTAGTTCCATTTGTTATTATTATTTTTTAATTTGATCAGAGACAGACAGAGAAAGAGAAAGCAAGAAAGCAAGGTGCCAGGTCCGGGACTCGAACTGCAGTCAGCCATGTGGGAATCCAGTGCCTTTAACCACCATGCCACCTGCCAGCCCCATTTTTCCATAGAAAAATATGTTATGACTTTTACGATGACCTAATACATGTGTGCTTTTCATAGTAAGTGAAGTAAATGCCATATAAGCAGATTATATATAGATAGTATAATAAAGATGATAATTGGAAGATGGATGGATGGAAGGAAGGAAAGGAGAGAGGGAGGAAGGAAATCCTTTTCAATCTTATTCATGAGATTTTATTTTTAGGATACAATTTCCTCTTAAACTTTGTGGACCCCGGTTCCCTATTCTGCAAGTAAGTCTCCACACATCTATTTTTCCCAATCCTTCCCACTTAATCCTTCCTCATTTATGTTATGACTTTTACGATGACCTAATACATGTGTGCTTTTCATA